AGATTACATATAGCACTGGACCTAGATATAAGCAAGATATACATGGAAGCTAAAGAGTAATTGTTAACTGGAGTCAGGGATTAAGGTCAGGTTTGGATTTGGTGACAAAACGGAGTTTGGATCTATTGCAAAATTTCATCTTATTCTACCAGAAATAACCCGACCATCTTGTTTCTGAATTAGATGTGTTTTTTTTCAGTAAGTCCAACCTAGTGGTGAATGAGTTACATGTGGACATTCACCAGGCTTGGTCCTTTGTCAATCAACAATTAAATACAATTCTGAAAATATTATAAATACATGTGCTTGCAGGTCGAGTGGGACTTGCAATTCAGTGTGAATATGAGCAACTGAATTCAGTTAATTGAAAAATTTTCATTGTACTGCACCTTTGATATTGTTTGATAGATCACTGTTCGAGCACTGTACTTACCAGGTTGTCCAGGTTTCTTCTTAGTTTCATTTCAGATTTTATGCAATTTTAAAACCTGTTACCTGAAGTATGTGACTAACAGTTACCATTTAGCATTGTTGTAGGATGTGGTGTTTAAGATAGTGTTAACTTCCATCCTCAGTAAGACATGAAGAGTTTAATTGAAAATAAATTGAACATATGATAAAGGAACACAGCTCTAGAGATGTCAGGCTACTTAGCAGCTCTTTGCCCGAGTCAGTTGAGGTATAAAACAATGGGCTATGAAGTTACATAACTCCACCCATGGACCAGATAAACTCTCTGCAGTTTGGGCTCACAGGGCTGAAACAATAATAATAATAATCCTTGCATTTGATGTAGCGCCTCAGCACGTCATCAAGACGTCTCAAAGCACTTCACAGAATATAATATAAAGTGGAGTGACTGTGGATTTTGTGGATAAAACGCGGCAATCAATTGCGCACAGCTATTACTGAATAAAGTGGTTTCGCGGAGATCTGCAGTGTCGGAGGTGCCGAACCTCAGATGAAATGTTAAAGCAAGGTCCTGTCTGCCTGTCAGGTGGACATTAAAGCTTCCGTGGTAATATTGAAAAAGAGAAGGGAGGTTCTTTCCATATTCTGACCAGAAATCACTCAGATACAATTGGTTATTAACTTCATGTTAACTGTTTGTGGAACATTGCTGTGTGCAAACTGGCTCTTGCATTCGCCTACAAGTACACAGTCACAACAACTTACAGGGATACGTGTGACGTGGATGTTTCTCTCGATCATGAGTTTCAATCTGGTTACAATCTCCTGCTGCCAGGAGTATCCAATATCTTGGAGCCCTCCCTTAGGACACTGTTGCCATCTCCCTGGGCTCTGCAGTTTGGTCCAACCATGGGTGACTAGCTCTGCTACCTTGTGTCTGTCTCAAGACCTACCTCTGACTATGTTTTCAGTCATCACCACCCTCCCAATCTCCCTTGGCTTCAGCATTAACTTGGCTGTCAGGCCAGTATTCTTTTGTACCTTGGATGTCTTCCTGATGTGAAAGGCGCTGTATAAATATAAATGTAAATTTGTATGGTTTTGTGTTAGGGTGTCCACCCTCCACAGCAATTATCTCAGTACATGTTACAGTATACATTTTTTGTAAAGAGGCGTTTTTTTCTGTACCGCATAGTTCTGTAATTAAAACAGTAAGAGGAGGTGTAAAAATAACAGCACTGTTGGGCTGCTCACAAACAATACAAATATATTTTTTATTGCGAACATGTTTGGTTTTACAGGACCCCTTAGAACCACTCTAATAAATTGAGAAAGCATGAAGCTGAATTCACTGCTCAGTGAATGCTGGTACTTACTGCCTGTACAAATTAATTATGGTTACTATTGCAGCTAGTCTCCTTTTCTGGCTGCAGAGACTCATTTGAATTATTTCCCTGTGCGCTGGCAACAAACAGCCTTTTTACTCCTGTCATTGTTGTTAAATAACCTAAATTCAGCATTCATCCAAATAATAAAATGCTAGCGGGATTTTAAGCCTTTTTTTCAATACAAATATCAGTTAGAGGTGAATGGTAAACTAACTGTGTTTTTTCCCATACAGATCAGGAGAGGACCCCAGATTCAATCCTGATCTGTGCCAGCATCTTGGGACGTTCTCCTGATGTGAAAGGCGCTATACAAATGTGATTTGTTGTTGTTGTTGCTGAGCCATCGCATGCCATACTGAGGGAACCAGTGGGGTTTCGGCAACCACAGTTTCCCCAAGCGAGGCATATGATTTTCTATTATTTGGGTGAATGATATTCATCACATCGAATAGAAGTGGAACCCAACACTTATTTTCCCACCCACTCCCCACTCCCTCACTGTTCTAATTGGTGAAGTGCACAAAGCAAAGTTGTAGCATTGGATTGCTGGCTTGAAAATTGTGAACTTTGGTTAATAATACTTACATTTGATTGCTGTAGCACCTTATCATGTCGCCGAAATGTCAAATTAGAGGGATAAAGGATTGTTTGAGTTTTTTTTGCTAAAATGCTGGTATCCTGCTAACTGGCCACAAACTGGACATCCAGTACCAGGGATCTGGCTCTTTCCACATCTCCACTGAGAATAACATCAACAGAGATGGCCATCAGCCTCATTCCATGTGATCAATATCAGGAGAATCTCAAATTTCACCCCAGTGATATCTCTGGAAAGTCTATGACGACAGAATCAGACTCAGCTTGTCTGTATCACTTTTCCTAAAGTAATCAATCCACTCTGTCTTGACTTAAACAAAGACAAAGATGACTTGGGTGATATTCTAGAGGCTGGGCAGTGCCCAAGCACTAGCATAGATCAACATCTTCAGGTGGCACTGGGGGAAAATTGAGGAGAAATAGCAATGACATTGCAACTGGAGGTCAGCTGTGTGCTTGACATACACGGAAACCAATTCAATGCAGGAATCCTCTGCTGTTTGAAGGCATGACCCTCCATATTTAGAGAACAATAGTGAGGTCTAACTTTACTAATTGCTAAAAATAGCGGCCTTTCAACAACACTTAAAAACAGGAAATCTATTTTAAATATATAGGGAACTTATATATATTTAGTCATCATCTTAAATGAACTCCCTTTATCTAAAAGAAACTTCTTATGGGCCTGACTGTCATGCACAGTGAACGGAGCTGCTTTGTTATTTCCTTCACATTGCAAATGTTCCGGAATCAGCCTGAGTCAGTTGCTAGCATTCTCGCCTCCGGTTACAGGTTCAAGCCCCATATTGAGATTGTGTTGCCGCTCTAGTGCATGGTGAAGAGAGGTGAGCACTGCATTGCCATGCTTCAGATGAGACATGAACCCAAGGTCCCGTCTGCCTGTTCAGATGGACGGTAAAGATTCCATGACATTATTCAAAAATAGAAGGGAGTTTATTCCAGTGCTCTGCGCACTAATCAACACCAGCAACAACAATTTTAAGTTGACATAGTGTCTTTCATGTCAGGAGAATGTCCCAATACCCTAGGATTGCTCTTTGTATGACTTTGCTTTGCGCAAAATTGGTTGCCACATTTGCCTGCAAGTGTGCAGTCACCACACTGTATAGTAAAATCTGTGAATTGTTTGAGATAATTTGACATCAATAGGAGCTATATCAAAGGCAAGGATTATTATTATTACTAGTAGTACTAAGTCACAATCAACTGAGTGGAACTGTGCAAATGAGGTCGTCAATAGCAGCCAGTTTCCCCAGTCTAAGTCTGTTCTGCTTCCATCGGTTGAAGGCACAGTGCTTGGGCAAGCTAAAACTTAGTTGATGGCTGGTTGGGACTGGAGTCCAGAGACAGGGAACGGCAGAGCCAGGAGAAAGCTTGAAATGTAAAATGAGACCATAAAGGGTCAAGGAGATGAAGGAGTGAACCACCTGAAGAGGGATAGGAGTGGATCAAGGGAGGCCTGAGGGAGTGGATGTTGGAGAAGAACAGGTAAGGGGAGGAATAATAGACTGGCATAAACCATAAACAAAATAAAGCAAGAGTGATGGAGGCTAACAACTGGCAATGGGCAGCTAGGGTATGAGCAAGAGGAGCACATGAAAAGTGATAAATGACACAGCAAGATGGATTGAGGAAGAGCACAACAACAAATGACATTTTTATAGTGCCTTTCATGTTGGGAGGCATCCCAAGATATAATAATAATAATAATAATATTATAATAATAATAATAATAATCCTTGCATTTGATATAGCGCTTTTCACGTCGGGAGGACGTCCCAAAGCGCTTCACAGAACACACTGTAAAGTGAATTGACTGTATATTTGTGGGCGAACGCGGCAGCCAATTGCGCACAGCAATGTCCCACAAACAGTCGTAGATTGAAAATGACCAATTTTATTATTGTTTTTTGTTTTTTTGGAGGGATTATTATTAGGCGTGTGGAGTAAGGAAACTTGCCCAAGGTTTCGCCCTGCCTGGAAGATGTTGGACAGTCATGGATTTGGACCTGAGGAGCAGGAGGTTGGGATCGGGGTTGTGGGGGACGTGGGGTTGGAGGGCAGGGAGGATAGAGGAGGATCTTGAGATGTGCGTTGAAGGAGGCAAGTGAGGGATTATGGGAGTATGGGGTTACCAGATCACAGAGGTAGGAAGGAGCAAGACTGTAGAGGGCCCTAAAGAAACAAGATGACCAACATCAGAAGTTTAAAGAGAACACCCACCATCACTTTATCAACGTACCAGGGATGGGTATTAAATGATGGGCTGTTAACATTCACATTCTGAGATACAGTAAGAACAATTTAGTTTTGGCCCTGACCCTGCTGGTGTTATGAGTTTGTGTCAATTGCAACAGTTGGCAGCCCTACCACTGACATCTCTCACCTCGATGAGCACAAAAAGTTCACCAAATAAATCAACATATTATATATAGCACTGAATTGTGAGCTAAGATAAATACCACAAATGCCTCTGTTCATTAACAGGACATCTTGTCACAGTTTATATTCTTTGTGTTGTGCTATTTTACTTCTGACATGTCATGACTCTAGTACAATTTGTCTTTTTCTTTCTCTCTGCAGCTCCTTAAAGCTGGAAGGTAAATCAACATTCGAAGATATTATTCCAGATTTGGTCAACACCACATTGCGACTTCGGCAAACAAAACCCCTGACCTCCAAAAATGCAAAACGAATGACTCTGTGGATCCACAGCATGACTAATACCAGTATAATCTGCAACAGATCATCTCTAGCAGCTCCATACGGCCTAAAGCTTATCCTGAGCAAATGCTCCAATCCATGGTTCAATTTGCTCCTAAACAGCAAACAAATTAATCTCTCTGATTTTCTTTCCCCTCTCCACTTCTGTTTCTCCTTCTTCCCGAAATCATTTGTGTCAAGATAGTGCTAGAGAAAATCAGTGTTTGCAAACAGTCTCAAAGAGCCTTGACACACAATTCATCATGAATCTACCCCAGCCTCTGCCACTTCTCACCGAACTCCCCTCCCTTCCCACTCCTCCTGCCCTCACTTTGAGAAAAATCGATAACAATATTGAAAACTCAAGCTAAATCCCATAAGGGACAGATTACGTGTGCGTAGCCCCATGAGGAACAGAGGAAATGTTTACAAGGCAGCAAAATAAATTCTACGTATCAAGAAATGTTGAGAAGTGATGGAAACTGTTGATTGTTCACAAAGAAGGATGATATCTCTTGTCCTCACCAAATGTATTTAAGCCATAGCAGATAAAAGCATCAGGCCTCATGGTGATTATGACTCCCGACTCCCCTTGTCATCATATCAGACGAAAATCCAAGGACACACAGCTGTTGCAGATGCTCAGAAACTGCATCTCAATTCTCTTCTAATATTTGCACTGTCACTTTCATTCAGGGTAATGATGTGTGTAGTTACTTGCACAGATAGCCTCTTGAGATCTGCAACCAAATATGCAGAATCTTGCTGAGCTTTACCAACTGAGGAATATGATGATTTGCACTTGTCTTCAACCCCAGCGGGTTGAATCTATTAAAAAAAATTGCCTCATCCCCTTCACCACCCTCATGAGACAAAAGGAAGATTCAAAAAACTGCACAGTGGACAAATGAACAAAATATTTATCTCTCCTTTTCATTACAAATCCGATTATGTACGGTATGGAAAGCATTGATTACTAAGGGAGAAAATCAATGCGGCATTCTGACACACATTAACTGTACCAGTGATTTAAAAGATACATTGGTCGTCAAGGTTATACGAACTGCGTTTATTGTTTGTAAATGTGATCTGCAGGCTTTATAAAAGAAGTGAGCCCTGAATTCAGAAAGGATGCACAGCAATTGACAAGCAAAGCACTTTAATTACATTTTTAAGTTTTGTATTTTTATAGTCATTGTTATCCCTCATTTAGCAGTCGTTTGAAGATCTTAGTGTACTCATTATGCAACTAATTGCATATTATTGTTTGCAAGCAGAATTTGTTTTTTGTTTTGCTTTACAGATAAACAGAGTAAACCTAAGAAAGTAATGTATAGATTTTAAATGGAAGGCTGCAAAAATATTTTTCTTCTATTCACAAAATTGCAAACAACGTATTTTATAATTATCAGAGTTTTGAAATCTAAGACAAATGTTATTTTATTATTAAAGGCCTGGTATATGATATTAGATAGACAGCAGGTAACAGAAAGAAGACTTTTCCTACTCTTTCCTAGATCAAAGCTGCTTGTAATATAAAAGCAACAAAAAACAAAAAACAAAAATATTTCTTCTTCGTATGGTGATCAGAAATACAATTACTACATTATATACAGTTCACCTCTACGTTACTGCATACACATTATTCAGTGTTAATCAAATCAGTAATACAATAATATATAGTTTGCAATAAACTGATCAAACGTAAATTATTTGTGAGTTGTATACTTTCAGAGGTACAAAATTGATTGAAAGATTTTAAAGGGAATTCTGTGCTCATTGGTATGAAGTGATTGTGAGTGTCTGATTTTCCACCAATGGGTAAATTTATCATTACCCAGAAAATCATACCCCTGAACACTGTCAGGCTTAATGGATAAGTGCCGAACCAAGAAATAAAACATGTTCAAGTTATTTTTTGCTAAGATCTGAAATTGGTCTAATTTATACTATTCAGAGTTCAGATTTCCCTAGCCTACATCACAGGAGTGAAGGTAAGTGTTTTTTTTGCATAGTTTCTGCTATATAAGAGGAATTCCTCTAACCTAAATGGCCATATTGGCCTTCAAGAGGGAACAAGACAAATACCTTAAGAAGTGTCAGCTACAGGGGTTTCCGGAAAGGCAGGTAAAATAGATTGAAAGGATTGCTCTTGAGGGAGCCGACACAGATATGATGGGCTGCATGTGTCACAAATTCTTCTTGTCACAAATTTATATGGTTTTGTGGTTCTGACCTGGTGGATTAGTGTCGGATATATACTGTCTGGATAGGGTAGAAATGGTCACAATATATGTGGCAGCTGGGACATTGCATGGGAACATATTACAGGACTGTTTTGCAAATTGTTCCTATTCCACGTAAATGAGCAACTATTGAAAAAAACACATTTAACCTGAGGAAAAGTTCTGCAGAGTTTTCCTCTTAAATCACATGGTTATCACATGCAGCAGTCAAAAATATTTCCAAAGCATGAAACTATCTTTTTTTTCTTTTNAGAATTTTTCTAATTTTCTTCTCCTTAGCACACGTCTCTGCTCCTGGACTCCAGTCTTCACGTGTGGACCATGGCACTGAGTGTCAGTAGACCACTTGTCTGAAGAGAGCAGCACAGCAGAGCCTGACCTCCCTTAGCTGCCACACTGCTGTTAGAGCGTGTTGAACTTTTGGTATCTAGGTAAAGGGACCAGGCCCCTCGCTCATTTTCCCTTCCCTAACTATGGGAAACTTTGGACCAATTTAGCCTCCCTATTGCAGCTGCTTGAGACCACCAAACTCAACACGGACCTGGATTTGAACCGGCTAGCTCCCAGTCCATACTTTGCAGCTCTATTCACTACAGCTACCCAGATTAAACTACTTTTACATATTTATTTATTCTAGTTGCTTTCCAACTGTCTCACTGCCAGTTCTTGAAAAAGGGTCACAGCTGTAGCATTGACGTACCATTTTCTTACACATGCCAATTTATTGTCTCTGCATTTCTAAAGCTTTCAAGTTTCGTTACAGATTTCTAACTTTCAGGTTTTTATAATGTTTGCTTTTCACAGGTGATATTTCCAAGGTCCCAGTAGTAAGAGACAATCATACTCAACGATTTAAAAGTGATGCTCATATCATGCTTTCTGTAAGCCAACTTAATGTGTAAACAACAGTTTTGATAAAACTTCTTGCACTTGATTTAGTGCCTTTTAAGTAAGGAGGACATCACAAAGCGCTTCACAGGATTTAGTATCAATTGTACAATTTCTGCACTTTGTGGTTCAATGTGGTAGTTACTTTGCACACAGCAGTGTCCCACTGTTTCCACTGCTTGCTGAAAATATTTCCCTGTGCAACAATTTTATAATGGATTTCTCTTTCTTCTCTGGAGAAGCCTAATTGCTTCTAGAATGTCACTCATCCTTTCCATTTTAGCTCCATCAGGTATACATTGGACACCTATGTTCAATTAGCTCTGCCAGATACTCTCTAACACTCTTTATTGTAGTCTATTGATCTTACCACTCAAAAATGCTCCATTTTATGAATGAGATGTATGGAACTGATTTGATATATGGATCACATGTGAATATTTAATAGGTTTACTAGACATACTTGAACATACACTGAAAGCTTTAGCACTTTTCATAGTTGAGAAATGGTCCAAGCTTCATTTTGATCCCAAAGGGCTCAGAATTCTCTTCCCTTACACAGATATTCAATCACATCACCTGTACATACAGCATCTTCAAGTAGTTCCTGGATTTTAAGTAATGTATTGAAGAGTCTCAGTTCTGGTACTATGAAACATGTGCTTCATTTGACTTGTACAGGTTGGTTAAGCTGTTCGATAGTGATTCCCAAGACTTCCAGAGACTTATGTACTGTCCTGAATCTCAAATTCTTCTATAACTTAGACAAATTTAAAGCTTTCAGTGATGGATGGTTTCGAGCTCCGCTGATCTCTCATATCTAACTTGCTGGGTTATTTTACAGCTCTGTAAAGTTGGATTTGGCTTCATCTGAAAATATGCAGATCCAATTCACCAAATCTTTCTTTGAGTTAATTTACTGTGGTATAGCACATTAACAGAGGATACAGTAATGCATTGAACCAGAAAAGATGAATGCAATAAAATAACACAAGCTATTTTAAAGCTAAGAAATAGTTCATGTTAAAATATATGCTCGTGCTTTAGAAGATGGATTTATGTGATGGATTTACGTGATGTGGACTGGTCAGTGGGAGCTTCTGAGAATGGTATTTTGAGTCCATATTCATGGAATCAACCTTCAAATTAATTCCTGTTCACTACTGAAACTAACTGGTCCATCCAGCTGGTCTCAAAGTAACAAATAAATAATCTTAAACCACTCTATCTTTCATACCCATGGATTGATTTTTTTCTGTTAATAGTGATCCAGTCTGTTGAAACTGAGGTGCATTAATCACTTTCTCCTGTCTTGGCAGATGTCTTATATTTTCTGAACAAGAGGAAAGATTACATTACTCTTGAACCAAGCTGCATTGGCATCGGTGACTGATTTGATTCTGACTGCATGCTGTGGATTTTTGTCTTAGCTCAAACCTCTCAAAGCAAACTCTCCTGTTAATCACATCCATTCAGAGAGACTCCACAAACAGGCCTTACAGACAAGATTTTAGAGAAAGTATTGATTACGTTTGGGCTCAGTCATATAATTTATAATTTGTAACCTAAACATTGTAGTTATTTTTCCTATATAATACTATAATAATCTTTTAATTTGATATAGAACCTGTCATCCTCAAAGCGCTTCGCAGGTGTCTCAAAGCGCTTTGTAAGATTTACTGTAAAGTTTGGTGGCTGTGTATTTTGTAGGCAAACACCATATCCCTTTACACAAAGCAATGACACACAAACAGCCATGAAATTAATTTAATAATAATAATTCTTGCATTTGATAGATTGTCATCACGTCGTTGAGACGTCTCAAAACACTTCACAGAATATATTGGAAGGGAATTTGACTGTATTTTGTGGATGAAATGCAGCAGCTAATTGTGCACAGAAGTGTCCCACAAACGGTCATGGAGCGAGTGACCAATTTTTTTTTGGAGCGGTTATTACCTTTAGGAAGAGATCTGCCAATCAACTAACAAACGCATTTCTATTTACCGTGAGATAAACAGAGGCGTGTGGAATGACCAAAGCAGATCATGCAGCTTCGGCAGGTTTCAGCAGGTTAGTTTGGAACTCTGCTCTTTGGTCGTGAAATTCCACTCCTGGATTCAGTGTGTTGAACGTTTGGCACATAGCTGGCATATACAACTAGTGGCTGCCACTATTTTCACTATGGAGCTAAGCATTTCAATGTCATTTCCTGAGATCCCAGCCTGCCTCTGGTGTGCTGTTTAGTGACACTGAAACTCTTCAATCCATGGCATCTACCAGTATTTCATACCAGCTTCATTGTTCTGAAGTATTTCTGATGGGATATATTTTCTTTAGGACAGGAAGGTTTAGTAATGTTCAGGGCTATTTTGTTGCTGCATACCTCCAAAACTGAAGTCTCATTTTCTTGCTTCTGAAGCTCAAGCAATCATAGAGCCAGAGACATTTAGAGCATACAAGGAATCTATTCAGCTCAGCATGCCTGTAATTGGCCTATTCTGCTGTTTTATTCTCCATGCCCTTCTATGTTGATAATTCAGATAATTATCTAACTCCCTCTTTCTGAAACACGGATATTGATTTTGCTTCAATCATCAATCTAGGTGGAGCATTCCAATATTCTAACAATTTTCTGTGTATAAGAAAAACTCTGCTGCCGAGGCTGAATACCGTCCACTCTCAGCTTAAGCTATAACAATGGGTTTAGACACCTTACAGTACAGTACAATACCAACAATAACAACAAACTACATTTATATAGTGCCTTTCTTGTAGGAGGATGCCTCAAGGTGTTAGGCAGTCAAGGGTTTGCAACCGAGCTGGGGGTTGGAATCAAGAAGGGTGGAAGGAAAGGGGGTGGGGTGACCAAAGACCCTGTCAAAGATGAAGGTCTTGAGACGGGCCTTGAAGGAGGCAAGGGAGGGAGTGAGGTGAAGGGCCACCGGGACGAAGTTCCAAAGGCTGATGGCACAACCGCCTCTAGTGGAGTGGGCAGAGTGGGGGACATGGAGCAGGCCAAGCGGAGGTTGCAGACAGAATGGTAGGGTCTTAGCAGGTCACATAGGTAGGGGGAGGCAAGACTACAGAGGGCTTTAAAGGTGAGGACAAGGATCTTGAACTCGATATTCTGGGGGATGGGGAGGCAGAGAAGTCAGGTGAGAATGGGAGTAATCGTCTCACAGAGCTTGGTGGGGGAGAGGACAAGAGCTGCAGAGTTCTAAATAATCTGCAGTTTGTGAAGGGAAGAGTTGTGTCAAGGGAAGATTTTTGAGGGTGGGGATGATGACAGCTGTTTTTTGACACTTCATTGTATAGTAAAAACGTGTGAAGCAATCTGAGGCTTTCTTGATGTAATAGGCACTATATGAAACATAAATGATGTTTTATAAAAGATATTAATAAAATATAGGACATTTTATGAGGTTTATTAACAGCCATCAGTTTGGATTGCAGTCAAACAATTCAATTAAACAGTTGGGAGAATTACAGCTTTAAGTGTATTTCTGCAAAATAAATATTAAAACCCATCCAGTTTTCCAGAGGATTTCCGTT